AAGGGCATTTCTTATGGTAGGATTTGCAAGTATTGGCATGGTCTTGTAAGAAGAGAAGGTAGCTTCTCTGCTCTTCAAAGCAGTTAGCTCTTGTAGTAGGAGGGCTAATGCCAATGGACAACGTACAGGAAGAAGGGATAATTAGATAAGAATGATGGAACAGCTCACTTACAGCCTTCGCTTACATCATGCCAAAACAGTAACCAAGTTGTACAGAATTTCAACTGATTGACCTACAGTAAGTGGAAAACATATCAAGAAAGTTGGCGGTAGGAAAGTGATGTGTGACTTTTTTGTGGTTGCTTGCCTGTTTTGGGGCTGATCTATCTGAAAGAAAACTTTTATAAGACAGAAACGTTCGCTTTTATTCCATATGTGCTTGTACAGTATGAAAGTATTATCAAATATTTCTAACAACAGTATATAAAGTTCAGGGAATGTAAAACCTAATTGGGTTTAAATCACTTGTATAATTTCCTTTGAACAAGACAAAGGTCTGTGTCTTCATACGCAATTTTTTGCTCCAATGTCTATATCATATTTGTGCTATATTTTTAGTTACTATGCAATAAATAATTTGGAAGATATTTGAAAAAAGTGAAACTTTTTTGCAGTGGGTAAGTGGACGGCAAAAGTAAAAAACTTAAAAGTTTTTATTGTGTTTTTGTGAGGTCATGAAAGAAGCACTGCTAGAGGGAATACTCATGAATAGACAAACATCACATAAAGTATCAATTCTGAGTGAGTCACCTGGCTGTTACGGTCTAAGACATAAGACTTTGCAGATTGCAGATAGCTGAATCAATTAATTAAAACCAAGGGACCTATAGACCCAGTCACATCAGGGCTGAATTGAAAAGATGTGAAGCAATTCATCTACAGATTGAAAGGCTAATGTGTAATCGAAGAGCAATCCAAAGCAGTCTATTGTTTGAAAAACAACTAGTCAATGAATTTCTAATTTACTGAGGGCTGTGTTTAATACACCATAAAGAAGGAAGATGGACTAACAATGATCGGGCATAAGTAGACCAGAAGCCGTGCTCGTCCACACAACCAGAAACATGTTTCATAAAGGACTTCATTTTCATACCATTATGGAATAAGTCTGAGTGTGTCTGTTTGTGTGCCCATGTGTGCCTATCGATGTGAAAGTAGCTTTACAAAGACATCAACCCCTGACAAACGGATAATGTGGAGATGCATCCACAGTAGAAATTACTTTTATAATAAGAAACAAAGTGCATCATCTTTTTAAATCCAAAAGTCCCCAATATATTTTGTTTGGGTTGTACTTTCTCCACATGTGGAGTTGCATTTGAGTAGAAAAAGAAGGTAGAATGAGAGATACAGTAACAGAAATTAATATTAGTAATAAATATTAATCTAATCAAAGATTACTTGGAAAAGTACTTTTCAGCCTCTCATACCAGACCTTTGAAAGCTGGAATAATAGAGAACAGACCATCCGATGAAGAAGTACTGTATTGATCAAGTAAGAACTGAAGGCCATAAGGAATACTTACTCAAGGCAAAGTTGTTTTTATGTGCTACGTCTCTCGTCCAAATTTACGTTTTTCTGTGTAATAAATTCATCATCTGAACATGACTTCTGCTTCATTCTATGATTCTGGACACCACAAAATTGTATTGTTTAGCAGAATTATTGTATTGTTTAGCAGAATTTCAAAACATCTTTCAGATTTCATGTGACTACGCATGTGAGAATCTTAGCTGCTGTCTTATGTCTAACTAAAGTCCATTTGAAAGTTCCAAATTATGTTTCACTTGAGGTGTTCTTATTGTTTTTTTTATGAGTAAACAAAGCCATTTTAGGTAAATATCATATCACGCATTTAAAGTGCATTCCAAGTCAACTAGATATTTCTTATTTACGTGTTTATAGCCCACTTTTGGAAATGAATCATTTAAAAACAAGAAAAAGCAGCATTTTGGTAATTTGTCATATTTCCCCTAAGATTCCTTCCCACACAGTATTCTTTGGTGTTTATTCATGCTTTAACTGGGAGCTGTGTGTAGCACAGCGATTAGAGAAAAGAGGAGAGCTTGATAGCTTAGGCCTTTATGGTCTGGCGCCACTCTGAATGGTCGAGGATACGATAAGATCACATCATTGAAGCTTTAAACATTGAACAAAAACAACAGCTTCAGTTTTTCTTCATTGTGCCCCAGCATCCATACACATGACTGTGAGGACAGAGTGGAGAGAAGGGGGGGGGATATACATTCCTGTAACATCTGCTTCGTACTGGATGGCATAAAAACAGTGTTTCTTTCTTAGCCAGAAATTTTCAGATTTCAAAATCATGTTGTACAGAACTGTTATGATTTGGATCGCGTTCAGCTGGGTGCGCTTGTCCTGGTCTGCCCCCTGGGGAACGATGTACCCAGGGCTCCTGCTGCTGAGAAAAACTTGTGTGGAAAAAAGCTTAGTTCCATTTCAGTGGGCTTTCCTTCAAAAGAGACGTCTGCTTTCTTTCAGCCCCTCTTTTCTAGGACTCCTCCAGGATCTGGACTAGTGCTGTCATCACCGTTCTTTTCAAAGTGTGCATGCAGTCACGCTTACACACAGCTCCCAAACAATGCGGATGGCCTACGTGCATCTGATCTAGCGATTCCGGGGGCAGACTGTCTGAGCTAGAATCGCAGATGCCCCCCTGTGCCTGCAAAGGATCCCCAGAAAGTCTGGACATTGGCAGCGCAGTTAAATAAATAATCATGTGGTGACCAAGCAGCACCAGTCACACTGGCAAGGAACACAGAACAAAGCTTCCTGACATTCTCTCTGAATCTCTGTCAGTTTATCCCTGTGTGGCATTTAAATGACTGCCCTGTTTCCTTTTTTTACTGGCTTGCTGGCATGTTGCTTTTTAATTTGCATCATTTACTTTGATGCTGAAACACCTACTCAAGTGAAGCCTGGATTCGACTTTCTGGATGAATGGATCAATTGGACAGTGTTGAGTCTAAGTGGTGGAGACCGAAGTAATCATTAACCAAGCTTCAGAAAGCTATAGCAGGTAATCAGCTGCTAATAGTGTTAGATTCTTTGGGGGGGGGAGGTGGGTTGGAGGTGGGTATGAGGAATTTAAGCTTCTTTTCAGACATCCAGAGATAGTTAAATATGAAAAAACAACTGCGCTTCATCACTTCCTTCTTTGGAAATTCTAAGCTGCACGTTTTACAGACAGAAACCCTTCCAATCCAGTGAAGTGAGGGAGTGTCCGGTGGCGTGTCCGGTGGCATGGCCAGTGCCACATTGCTTGCAGTTCCCGGTGTTGTAAAATCCCCATATGAGTTGTAATGTAAAGTAAATACATGTATTATGCCCGAACGAATGCCTTCTGATTATGAGAGCCTGTTTTCACAGTGTGAAATATTGAAATTAGTTTTTAAGGTTGTTATCATTGTGAAACGGGGTATGGAGATGACTGAATACTCAGATAAACATACCCCAATACCCTAATCCTAAAATTAATTCATACACAAATGCAGCTCTGATACAGTACCTAATATTTGTTATATTCCCAGTAACGCATTAACTACTCACTTTTGATGATATGTAGAATAATTAATGCTATTCAAAATTTCAGACATTTATTTCCAGTTTAATGTTCAAATCACGTACTGTGTTTCAGGTACTTGGAAGAACTGAGTTTTTGACCTCAAGAATTATGAAAACAAGATAATATATGGGGCCTAAACAAATTACAAGTGCTTGTTTTGAATATCCTTATTATACTGATGTGGGACAACCATCACTCTTGATTTCCATAGACAAAATAATGTATTCCACTTCTGAAGTGAATGCAGATTGATTTAAGCCTAAGAAAGAGTAAATGATTGCAAGCAAGTTTCAGAGTCTCCCCAGATGGGAAAAGCAGCCTTTGATGAAACAAGCTTATCTTGTACTTGCTTATTCAGCGCAGCATTATAATTAATGTAGCAAATTCACAGCTTTCCTCTTTTGAATATCAAATATGACTAAGGTATCCACTTACCTTCTGTACTAACTCTGCTGTTTAAGTAATCCACTGGAATCTAATCTATTTGCAGTAGAAATGAAATTGGGCTTGAGTTCTTTTCAATCATAAATTCTGTTTATGTACGTCAATATGTTTTTCTGATTTATTTATATTAAATATCTCTGCATTGGTTATGATTTTATAGCAGTCTGGACTATAGACTGCTATCAAGTCTCTTTTGTTTTTTTCATACTTGAAATACTGTTCTTGTTTAGTTTTATTGGACTCCACATTACTTGCTTCATTGATCAATGGCTTCATCAGATGTTTCTGAGCTTTAAATAACAGGTAATTTAGGGCGACCTGCTGTATAAGTACTGTATAAACGGATTGGGGCTCTCCTGGACCAACGATACAGCAGGAGCTTTTGTTTAACAACTGCTACTGTACATCTCCCTTGGCGATCAAGAATATTCATCTTCCTTGCCAACCTCACGTTTTGTGAATTAAAAACATCTTTGGTTTAAATGCAATTATTCTGGGTAAATAAAATGCAATGCAATTATTTATTGTGGGCAAATAAAAGCATGGCATGGCTGTTTAAAGCAGTAAGGTAGAGCAGAATAAGCTTTCTATCACAACAATTCTTCTAATTCATCACAAAGGTTAGAGGCACATTTCTGTCTCTCCTTGTGCTGAGTAGGCCAGATTTATCAGGAAAGACGGGTGACTCAGGAATGAGTAGTATCCCTTCAAGACAGCTGTGTGTCAATCCAGTGGCATTTAAGTTACATTTATGGGAATAGCTTAATTGACATTCTACCATCATCTGTGGCTCCGCTGTTTGCACACACTTAGCTACCGTCAGCAAAAAAAAAGTAATCTAAAGACAATCAGCAGACACCTTTGAGCAGTCTGAAGCTCTGTGAATCTTTAAACCCTATTCAATAATTCTTTAAGGAAGGAATTCAATTGCAGGTGTAATTTTTTTCTTTTCTTTTTGTTCCATCACAGAAGCCAAGCTTTCTCTCTGAAGCCCTTTTCCCTGCCAGTTCCTCAGTAACAGAGACCTTGGATCCTTCCTTCTCCTTCCATGCAATGGTTGCAAAGGTGAGGCAAAATTAATCATTCTGACTTGCACCTTGTGCTGCATCTGCCCCTGGCCAGTTTATCCTGTGCTTCACTGGTACTGCTTAATTGGTACTAAGAGTGTGACTGATGACTGCTGGTTGACAGATTGTATTTTAAAGCAGCTTAAGTTGTGGCCTGTGTGAAAAACGGATCTGCTGGGAATGTTTTTCAAGCAACAAAGTTAACTGCACTGCCGGGATGTTAATATCATCCAGCAGCCCGAAAGAGGGTCCCAACTGGAAATTAACGGGGAATTCATTCAGGATGGAATGGAAGAAGCACTTCTTTGCCAGAAGAGTCATGGGTGTCATGAGGCCTTGAGGTCTCAGAGATAGCTGGATGGCATTTTAGATTCATTGAGCTAATAAACCACCTAAGAGCAAGAGGGGTGGATTGACTGCCTTTGCCTGCAGCCCCTCTTATGTTCTCATGCCACCGCTGTTGAGCTTCACTGCACACAAACATGGTGTCCACACCTGAGGCCTTGTCATAGACCCACAGGTAGCATCTTTCAATCAGGTGCTACAAATACGGACACGTCGCCTTTGGATCCGAATTGCCTGAGGTACTTGATACTTGTTGGAAGGATCAGTAATATAGCGATTGATTTAAAATGCTGTTCTCCTTTCCCCCTGGCTTTGGTGGTTGAAGTCACACTCATAGGAGTAAGGTGCCTGCATTTAGTAACACCCATCGGGAATATGAAGAATTTGAATTGTAGAGCGCTGTAGGTCCGGTGTGAATGGAATGTGGGAACTAGACTGTAGCAGTGAGGTTCGGGGAGGGGCGCTCAGAGCTCTTCGTGGCCGTTCATGTGAACCCACAGAGGCGGCGGGCTCTGTTTTAGTCGGCTCTCCTCTGCAAAGCAAAGTCTTTCCCTCCCCCCTCCCTGTGGCTCAGGAGAAACTGGCAGACGTCTCCGGTGTATTCTCACTCCCTGAATGTTAATTTGCTGGCTGCTGGCTGCTGGCTGCATGCTGGTACCGGGGGTCCTGGGCCCAGTTCTGTCCCATCCTGCCCTTGAACCTGGCGGCCGTGCGTCTGTGCGTCGGGCTGCAGGAGGTGGAGGCCGGGGCCTGACATGTCACTTCATTAAAAGCTAACAGTCAGTCCACCCATCTCCACCTGACACTGATTGCTTAGCTAAAGGCTTGGGACTGACAGCTCGTTTTTCACACAACCTGCTCTTTGTTTGTAAAAGGACAGGTTACATTTCAGGGGAAAGAAATCTTTCATAAACATTGTTTTTTTTTTCTCTAAGAAAGGCTTAACAAAGAAAATAAATAGAGAGGAAGAAAAATATATCCTACCCCACCCTCCAAAAAGACGTCCGTGTAGTACATGGCTTTAACTTGTTAATACAAAAAGATGGCAATTGATTTACAGCTGCAAGCCAACAACAGGAGCTTTGTTAAAAATATTTGGTGACTGAAGGTCTTAGCTGGCACGGCGGATGACAACGTTGCATGTCATCAGTAAGATCTTTGTCCCTCTCATAATACACCCACATAAGCAAGATCACAATATACAGTATATGTTTATTTTGTTGGGTGACAAGTATAATCATAGGTATTCAAAACTGAAGTACCCTGCTGACACCATTGTTCATCGCTAAAAGATGATTGATATTGTAAGAGTGTCATTGACAGAATAAGACAGTTTTAATGAAAAGCATTTTCAATTCATCTGAAGTTAACAAAAAATGCAGTTTATTATATCGAAATTCAAAGAGCACAACCTTCAAGTGTCAAAATATGAGATCCTTCAGAGCTCCGGGTAGGTCAAACTTAGAGAAACTTCACTGCATAGCAATATATATTTTTCAAAAACTTCAAATGATTTTTTTTTATTCTGAGCTACATAAAGAAGTCTTGCTTCTATTGGAAGGTGTGTTTCCTTTTTCAAAGGTACTATATATATATACAGAATATTTCACAACAGTGTAGAAAATTCGAGATTTGCTTTCAAGTGGCATGATTGTCTTATCAAGGGACACCTCCCAAGCCTTCTGGGATTAGAAACTGTAGCATCAACAGCTGCAGCTAGAAACTGCAAAGCAGCAGTGAGACCTGAAAAAAAGGGAAAAAAACACTTTGTCCTTTTTACAAAAAGAAGCCAAAAGTTTAAAAAAAAGTTCGTTTTCTTGCCTCCTTGCACCTGAATCTCAAATGTCCCTGCGGAAGGGCTCCTACCACAGGGCTGCCATACATCCGTATGTCTTCCTTTGCCCTGCTAAGTGTCGTATAGCTGTGAAGAGATGGGACTTAGAAAGGAAACCTGTCTTGGTTCTTTGTGCCATCTGAGCACAGGAATTGCTTGGTGGATCTTTGACCCACCTTCTAAAGATTCCGCATGAGCAACCCCTGTTGCAGCACTACTCGCACACAGGGTCCTGTTTATTAACAAGTTCAGTACCATGTTTTGGGACATTGGTGCTCAGTTTAGTCCTTTATCACAGTGACTCCAGTGGGGCGACTCCTGCTCTAAGGGGCTGGGTCCCAGAAGGCTTTACAGATGCTAATCAATTAGGAGCTGATGAGCAGGTGCTTTCACCCTTACCTCTCCAAACGGTGACTCTATTCTGAGCCCATGGTTCAGAATGACGATTTTTTAATGCACCAATTCCAATCTTTCTCTCCAAAGCCCTGCTGGCTGTAGTCAAGATCAAAGTTGTTATTCATGCATTATTATCAAAAATAATAATTAAACTTTCAATGCAGTTAAAATAAGACCATTATTTTTGTTTTCCGAACAACGACAGTAAATGTTGGAACTGACCACATTATTAAGCCTTGATCACTTTAAAGGGAGTATACTGTTTAATACTGTTTTTAGTATCCCCACCTCAGAACAAAATAGAACTTGTTGGCTGCAGATGGGTTTAAATAGTAAAAAAAAAAACTGACAATTGCTGTTTTTCAGAAGCCAGTTTTAATACCGAATATTTCCTTATCTGTTTCTGACATGTTACTGCTGGTTTGTGGATCAATGTCCCCAGTGCCTGTGTAATAAAGTAACTCCAGATATATTGTACAAACTGGAAGGGTTGCATACTGTAAATGTGTCCTTCAGAAATATAAGGCCTATTCTAGTCTTCTTGAAGTCACCTGCTAATATCTCAAGTTTAAGATCAATCACATGTTTTTAACATTCTGCTCCACACTGGACATGTTCTCCGGAGAAATTCAAGGGGTCTCAGCTTGTTTTCCTTGCAGATGCATCACTGTTGCCCTGATAGTCAGTCAGCACAAAAACCCTACAAAACCATACAGTAGCTGGAATTCTCCCATTCAGACAAAAGAATTGTTTCTAAAACTGTTTGTACTGTTACAAGATACAGGTAAAAGGCTGGGGACTGAAGCACCTGTGTTTTGCTCTAAAATATGTTTTGTGTGTAAAGCGGACAGTATTTAATGGGTGTGAAGCAATGCCTCAAAATCAGGACTGATTATATTCAAATATGTTTAAAAGAAACTGATGTTTTCACATATACTGTAGTGAATTTATGAGATTGCTCTGTTTCTCTTGTTTATCAGAAAGCCTAATTTCCTTTGTAATGAAAATGTGTTTGTTCTGAATTAATTGAATTAGAATTAATGTCATGCTTGTTTTTCATAGGTGACATGAACAGTGCTGTCTTACCGCTGTTTCCAATAAACCCTGAACAGCTTTCTTTATATTTGCTACATGCTTGTTTTTATTGTGTGTTTTCTGGATAAAATGGGAATGTGTTAAATATTTATTTTAGATTTGCAATAATTTTGCAATGGTTTTGTGTTTGAGTTTTTTCGAGTGGCTTTTGAGAGACCCATTCACATTTATTTAGGAACTGTGTCCACACTCACTCCTTAACCTGAAATAAGAGAATCCCCAGTGATGGTTACAGGCCACTGCTGTGGTGCTGGAGTGAGGTTTAACCGATTGCTGCGTCTCTGTGGAGCTGAAGTGATGTCTGCTTTCTTTCTATTGTTGGTTGGGAGCCATGGGATTATATACTGGACTCAAGCCCCCACAGCAATTTTTCAAGCACAATTTTGGCTGCATTTGAGACAAGAAACACAGTCAGTTTTGTAGTGCTAATTATGTAAATATGTGCTATATCTGAGCTAGATGTCCTTGAATTGTAAGCGCTCATCAATCATAGAGGTTCCAAAAAAAAGCTGTTTAAAGTCCTGTATTGTTTCTTTTCTGCGATTTGTTCCCATGTAATATATACCTTTAATTCTACTAACAGCTGTGGCATACAGAATTGCAGTAATCAGTTGGTAAATTGAAAATAAAAGGAATACTAAGGTGGAATATTTTGTCAGAATTTTGCAAGGCCTTTAAGTAGTTTTAGTAATAGTAGCTTTCCTGATGCATTTGTGTTGGACGTCGTATTTATTTATGTATTGATTGATTTAGCCCATGTGTGTTGCTAAAAAGGTGACCTCCATTTGTCAGTCAGCTTCAAGGCAAGGATTATTATACGAATGCTCAGGAGTGGTAGTCACTGCTGTCCGCAATAAAAGCTTCATTAACCCAACCTCTTCCATTGTGAAATAATGGACATTTTCTTTTGATATTCTTTATTAATTAGCTTGGCCTACTCTTGTAAAGTGTGCAAAGTCAGTAACTGCTAATATGAAATGTGAATAGATTTAGCAGCTACCCTTATGTTCTGTGTGAAAAATTAAAGCTTTTTCAAAACCTCCACTTTGGAGTAAGACATCCTACCTTACAAAGGGGTTACCCAGCTAAAATAATGCCTGATAGACGAAGCAGAGAAAATACACAGTATGATAACATCAGTAAATAAACATTGATGGTGAGCAGAACACAGAACAAAGTGCACAGCATCACCTAAAGCAGAAGTGAGTCTTGAGAGAGTGTCAATGGTGCTCGCTGCTTTTCTCATCTGAGACTTTCTATGGCCCTTATGGACCCTCATGGACCCTCTTTGAGGACCCCAAGGGAATTACCACTTTCTTTGGTACCTC